TTTGATCGTGGTTGTTAAGTCACAATATACTTCAAATCGACTATCTTCAATTTGATCACCCATTTTATCAAGGTCATCTCATAGACCATTAATGCTTTTCAAGCACAAACCAATTCAATTGGTTCCATGATTAAAGTCCAACTCAACAACAAATAAGACTAAGCATATTAATCTCCAGTCGTTTGTAATTTATCACTTTTACAAGATATAATCATATTACATCAAATAGTAAGGTACATGTTCACCTTATTCATAGTTGATCAAAATCACATTTCTATGCACACACATTTTTGCATAAGATCATCTCATTTAATTGCATATAATTAATTGAGGCTATCACCATAAATCAAATTTAGTATAATTTCCAACCAATCACATATAATTTTCCAATTTCTACAGAAGAAATGATTATGAAAGTTCACATAGTTCCTTTCATAAAATTCTAACACCTTAGAATTTTCCCATATGTAACATGTGCAATATCATTTCAAAAACTTCAACCATTTAACCATAGAGGTGAACACCCAACATGCCTTTTCATAATAATAATATTGCAATCTCCACATATCTTCCGATATAATTATTTAAATATGTATCACTTGCCAATTAACTGGAAGAAATTATTTTTTTCAAACCGAAATTATTTTCATGCATACACGTACCAAATAAGGAGTGAAATTTTCTGCCATATATCATATACTGTAATTTTCTAGAAATCATTCATAATTACATGGCAATATAAACATGAAAGAATATAATGATTGGTTGGCATCTCAAATTCATATTCACATGTTCACCACAATTGCATGAAAGGTTGACATTTAATAACTTCTGTATGTAAGGTTGCCATTTAATAATTGAACCACATGCACCTTCTCAAAATTAAACCAACTTATCAATTAACTGAAGTGATTATATGCACGAAACAATGCACCTTTGCAGTCACTTTTACATCATGAAATTAAATAAGAAAGCACTCACTACATTCCTTTATTTACCAGGATCATGCAATTGAAATATATATACGATTTGTAGACCGAGAACCCAACATGCATCCAGACAAATTATGCCAATTCAATGTTGTATAACAGCATGCATACAGATTTGGAATAAATTGATCGGGCCATCAAACAGTTTCTACCTTTTTCCACTTTCGTGAACATTTTTAAGTACGCATGCAACTATTTATGCACAATCAAAATTCATATTACATCGATAATATGCATATTATATTTACAAGGATCAAACATAATTTCGACTTACCAAAGTTGAGTTTGAGAAGGCGAAATGATGATTACTGAGTCCGGAATCATGAATATGATTCATTATTTTCCATTGTTGAATAAAAGCATATCTTTCTTCAAGTCGAACCTTCCCGTGAAATTAGTGTCATCAAACGATCTACACGAACACGATCTTGATCCATCAACTTGATCAGCGCTATATTTCATTCTCTGTCGCATAAATATCGTTTGAGATTTTTGGAGAATTTACATCAACTAGGGAAAATGGAGAAGAAACAAAAAACTAGAAATGTGATCTAGAAGATGAAGAACATAACGAATATGAAAGCTCGAACATGTAATCGTTGTCCTCAAACGATATTTACCCCTCTCGGTAATAATTTTTGGTGCTTAAAGGGTTTCACGGCAAATGGTTTGTATGATTAATCAAAATGTCAAATTTTGATCACCGAACTTAGCTCTATGTCTTCAATTGCTCATTAATGTTTTAAGCCCATGTTTGAGCCACATTCTAGGCAAAAAATGTATTATTCATGTCAAATCAAAGAGAAATGTGTTGTTAAAAATAAGGAAAAGTTTTAGATTTGCGTATATATTATTTTATTGAAGAATGTGTGGTTGAAATGATATCAAATTACTGTTGAAGAATGTATTTTTTTGAAAATAATGTAGCTCAAACAAGCCCTGAATGTCAATTTTTAGCCACTGAACATTGAAAAACGTTGTATGTTACTCACTAGCATATCTTCCACTTCAAACCTCTAACGGAATTGGTGACGTGGTTTACGGAATGCATAAGTGGTGCCCTATCACACTATTAAACTTTGAGATGGTTGAATTTTGGTCTAAACTTTGAAAAAGTGTCTTTTATTGTTCGCTGAACTTCCAAGTGGTCGAATTTTGGGTACTGATATTTGAAAAATGTCAACTTTGGTCACTAAACTTTGAAAAATTATTCTATTGCTCACTCTAAATTTATTAAACCGCACATCTATACAATAAAATATTTTACATGTAAACTCAAAACTTTTTACATCTCTTTCAATTTCGTCATTCACATGTGCAGGTGTTAATGATAAGAGTAACTTGGTGAGCATTGGAGTGCAACGACATAAAGTTCAATGAGTGGTGGGGTGCAAGAAGAAGTTTAATAAGTGAAACGTGACGTTACCTAAAGTCAATGCGTTGAAACAATTAACTCGATTAGTCGTATCTTGCCGCACGTACTTCTCTTTTTTCAAAAATAATGTTCTTGGGCCTTCTTGCTCCTACCAACAGAAGATAAGAAAAATCGAGATGTGAATGGATGAGATTCGACTAAAAATATAATTACAATGAATGAACTCGTAAGTATATTTTTTAACTTAGTAAAGTTCAATTTGAATCTCTTCTAACATGTTTAGTACTAGGGGTGTTAATTTGGCTTGTCGGCTCGGATCTCTTGTGGTTCGGTCCGAAAAAGTTTGAGCCGACCCAATTCGAAGCTCGCGCCGAACTAGAGCCATACGGGCCAGCTCATGTCACTGGCCATTTTCGACCCGTGACGAGCCGCCCTTAAAAAAAATAAAGCTATAGGCAGCTGGCAGCGTGTTGCTTCTACCTATTTTTTATGAAAAAAAAAATGATGGCTCGGCCGAGCTCTGATCGAGACTAGAAAAAAAAAACTCTGTTGCAATTTTCCCATAAAACAAGCGACAATATAACCACTTAAGAAAAACAAGTAGGAGAATGAACTTAAGAAAATAAAAGTGCCTCCTCCCCATCATCTTAAAATTTTAAATGTAGTTTAACACAGTATCAAGAAAATGGAGAATTTTGTCTATGCATCATGACTTTTGATTAAGAAAGAATTATATTTGCATTTGAGAGGGCATGTTTGAAGATTACTCTTAACAAATAAATGTATCCCGTTTCTAGTAATTAAAGTATTAAATACGCATTAGTTTAACATCATTAATGATAATGAATCTCCAAGAATAAACATGTTTTGATTTAGATGAGGAAATTTGTAATAATTATAATAAAAGGCGAGGAGGCAAAGGGATCCCACCTCCATGTGTGGTGACAGCATACTATGCAATTATCCCACTTGGATTCTTGTTTTGAGATCATCCCATCATCCTTTACACCTATTTAAAAGTTTCAATGCAACATCTCCTTCTACGTGAGTGTCTTGAGTTACATTGTACTTTCAAGAAATAATTAATTGGTCTTTATAACATAATTGTAAATGATAGTCGAGATATATTCGACTTCAATTCCTAATACTCAAAATCCGAAAAGAACGAAGGAAAATATGGTACTTAGTAGATCAAACATAATTATTCGATCTAAAAAAACTGATTTTGCTGTAAATAACCAATTAACTTGTCCTACAAACATGTGGTCATTTGAGTTGTCTCGGAAACATTACGTGTAAACAAATGAATGAAATCTCAGAAACTAACAATATTAACAAGAAGAAGAATTCCTCCCAAAAATCCTAATTCTTGCTAAAATGTGTTCTTGGGGTAGACCATGGAGTGCCATCAATATCTCCACCAAAATTCATAATTTCTTCACAACCTTCAGGCAAAACAGATTGGATTCTCAGAACAGGTTTCTTTGAAGGCAAAACTGGAATTGGGGATTCCCCTTTAAGCATTCTTGCAGCCTCTCTCATGACTGGCCTTTTCTCACAATTTGGATATGCACAAGAAAGCCCCACAATAAGTTTAGGGTCCTCTCCATTTCCATCCTGTTAAAATGCCCCATAAGTTTAGGGTCAGCTGCCTCTAAAATCATCCCTTTTTCCCACAAATCCCATACATAATCAGTAATCACAAGTCTTTCTTCATCTACTGGTCTCCTCCCTGATGCCACTTCCAGCACCACCACCCCAAAGCTGTTCACATCAGTTTTCACTGTGGGGACGCCGGAAAAAGCGTATTCCGGTGCTAAATAACCCATTGTTCCAGCAGGGACAGTGGCGTCTCGTGTCCTAAAACTATGCCTATAAACTTCTGCCAACCCGAAATCACCAAGTTTGGCATTGAATTCCGTATCAAGCAATATATTTCAATTAATCACATATTTCTAAAGAATACTATTTAAAAATACATTTCCCCCAAAAATAGGGTTCAAACAAGGGCTAAGTATACGTTTAATATGCAACATTAGCTTGCATAAAAAAAATTCATATAAAAGAGTTTAACCGATTCTTCTTCCTTTTTTTTTGTTTGAAATTTATGATAAGAATGAAATCCTATTATGTTTGCAACTTAAGCCCTTGTTTGACGTTCAATTTACAAGGTTTTTCAAAAATGAGTTTTGGAATGGTGATTTTTTGGACAATATGCAGTTAAAAAATTAGAATTCTTTTTTAGACTTACGTACTAATATTTTATTGTGTGAATGTATAGTTGAAAATGAATTTGAGAAGGAAAAAATTTTAATTTATAATGGATGTCAATCAGGGGTTAAGTTTATAAGTCTCATTTAGAGAGTGGTGAATTGAAAAAAAAAAAAAAAAGAAAAAAAAAAGAGGAAAAAGTCAAAAAACAGAACATGCATGTTTGGCCATGATTTGGAAAATTTCCTATATGTTAGTTAAGATTAAAATAAATATTTCTTTTGAATTGTTAAGGTTGGAAAAAAATTACTCTTTAACATAAGTAATCATTTAGAAAGAAAAAATTAACATACTCTTCACACCTTGTGTGATTGCTTCATTTTAAAATAGCCAAACACGCCCTAAAGCAAGACAAATTTTTTGTTCCTTAAAAATAATTAGCGTATCAGGTTACAAGGACCAAAAAAATCTGTGCCGTGCCGAGTTGGCTAAACTGCCACCACTAACGCCGGCCACTCCGCCCACACCACAACCTTCTCATTTCAACTTACTGATATAACACAAGCCCCAATTTTACATTCCTTTAGCCTCCTTCCTTCTTTCCAAATTATTCGTCCCCTTCTCATAAACCCTAATCAATTTGGGAAGATTAGTTTACCTATATTACGAATTATGCAAACCACGTCAGTTATATTCAACACAAAGCTCCTTTTGTCTCCGATTCATGCCAGTAATTACTATTATAATGACAAAAATTCTCGTTATTCTCCAGTGATTGCTCATCAATGTAAGAAATCTAGTGTAACTCTGCGTCCTCATAGACGCCGCTGCAGCCGTCCTTATCTTATCAATCCCCAGGTATGTATTACTATTACCACGGTTTGGCCTCTTTTTAGTGGATTTTAAATTACATACAACGTGGGATTGAGGGCTGTAAATTGTTTTGGTATTTGGATATAGACTGAACTCTTGCATTTTTGCATACTAGAATAATGGGGCTTTAGCTGTCTGGATAATGGATTATTTTGTTCAATAATTTGATTAATTGTTAGCTGTATAAAGGAAAAAAAATTGATTTTTGTTTTTTTGCGGTGCTGTGAAAATATAGTATTGATAGAATTTCCATTTCAATTATTGCCTTCTAGATGAAACAAATACAATATTTTGATAAGTACGTTTATCCATGTTTAGTTCCATGGAAATGGAACTCTGAAGTAAAATCAGTTCCAACCTAAAATCTTTTTGGACTGCTTTTCCAAGCTTTGCATTCCATATAAGCAAAAATAGCTTCCAGGCTTTTCAATATGTATGGTAAGGCTCCTAAATGGTTGCAAATTATTGCATGAGTAAACTTGAAAATAGACTGCACAACAATACTACTTGAAGCTTGAACTGCTCATATCCCCTCGCTCATAGTCTTAACCTGTTAATATCATGTTATTGTTAAAACTGGAATAAAGGCCAGTAGTTTCTTTGATAGGGAACTTTAGCGGAAGAACATTTCACAGTTGTACTCCATCTGTCCATATTGAATAGCGGTGATTTGAATTGGTCCAAAGTATTTATGTTGACTGATGAAAGTAGATATTTCATATAATTTTTAATTCATACCCTTGACACTAACGACCAAAATCCATATCAATTACACCGGATCGCTTAATCGGGAAAGTAAAAACAATCCATTGTTTAGTAGAGGTTAACACTTTGTTCTATTTATACAAGGAAATGGCATGTTTCAAAATTTTGCGGCTCAGAAAATAAATTGCTTGCGTATTTACATGAATCTATATGTAAAGGAAGAAAAAAAATAAAATTGCTTGCTTATTTACATGAATCTATATGTAAAGGAAGAAAAAAAATAAGTTCCTCATAAAAACAAAAAGATCCCTTTCGTCTAGTCTTTGTCGAATACAGCCCTTTTCTTTTTCCACATAAAACTTTGTTTTTCTGATTTGCATGACATCCTTTTCACATCACCATGTTTACATATTACTCACTTCCATCCTTTATTGCAGAATACATGGAGAAGATCTTCGGAACTTAACGAATTCTTACCTCAAGCGCGTTCGTTGGATAGCTGTAGGCATGTCTCTTGCTTCAGCTCTCATAAAAGAAAGCAGGCCTGTTTTAGCAGATTGAACACTGGGGTCTTCCTTGAAAAGTCGACTTTCCATCTATCAAGAAAAAAACTTGACAATGCTAAAGTAAGCCATAACTAGTGTTGCTGGACCCTCTGTGATTACTTACATGTTCGTAAATGTATGATAAAAAGCTTTTCACTATTTGCATCACAACTTGGTTTTCTTATTTGTTAGATTGATAAGGAGGAGGATGGATGGTAATTTTTTACTGCTTGATTTTGTATTATAATCGATCTTATTTCTGTCACTAGAGTTGTTTTCTCCCGGCCTTTTCCTGCTAGTTTCTTTTTTTTTTCCTGAGTATTTCTTCATATGTTTCTACACTAAAATACATATCAAATGATTTACATTCTCCCCAGCTCACTAGCATTTGTTTACCCTTTCGAAGCTGTCTTATTACGACTTTTATAATTTGACACATTTACAACTCTTTTTGTATCTTGTAAGTTGCAATTGTACTACTTGTTACAAAACTATTTGTCAAATGAGATATTTGGGTATTTGTTTTTTAGTTACTTTCATTCTTTTAGCGGACATCAAAATAGCAAGTATTTGGCAATTTTGTCTGTTTAGTGACTTCAACAAGTCCAGTTTTTTTCTTAACAAATACTTCCACGTTGACATCCACTCTTTTCATTATATCATGTTGATTTACAGGTCCAACAAGTTCACGTTCCAATGGCTACTGTGGGCCCTGAAGAGCCACATGCAGCAAGTACAACCTGGCCTGATGGTGTTGTGGAAAAACAGGGTTTGGATTTTTTAGATCCAGAAGTAGAAAGAACAGAATTTAAGCAGTTTTTGAGCTACGAGCTTCCATCTCACCCAAAACTTCACAAAGGGCAATTAAAAAATGGTCTTCGCTACATCATTTTGCCTAACAAAGTCCCTCCAAATAGGTAGTATTGTTTCGCAGTAATTAAAAGTCACATGATGCTCTGTCGATTACTATCAATGCAACTGTTAGATTATAATGATACGTGAAAGACATGGTTTAAGGGTTTGGATTTTTTAGATCCAGAAGTAGAAAGAACAGAATTTAAGCAGTTTTTGAGCTACGAGCTTCCATCTCACCCAAAACTTCACAAAGGGCAATTAAAAAATGGTCTTCGCTACATCATTTTGCCTAACAAAGTCCCTCCAAATAGGTAGTATTGTTTCGCAGTAATTAAAAGTCACATGATGCTCTGTCGATTACTATCAATGCAACTGTTAGATTATAATGATACGTGAAAGACATGGTTTATTGAAATTGAAAAATAGATCGATAACTTACAACTATGCAAATCCTTATATCTATTTTTAATTTTCTAATAATCTCTTACATTCTTCCCTACCTTGTGGTAGGAAAATAAAATCTAGTTCTTTATGTGTATCATCCTTTTATCAAAACAAGGTGCACGAGGGTTGAAATTTGATTTGCTGTGCCACGTAGAAAAGATATACAGCATTTTTCATTTCTTGCTTTCTATTGTTCCTCTCTTATCCTTGCCGGGAAGAACAACATAAATTTGTTAGTGTATCTCATCTTTCCCAGTTTTGTCGCTTTAGCGAGACATTCTTTTATAGTACAATCAAAAGAAATTTGATGGCTCCGACTTCTCTCATTGTCTTACTCTTGCGCATATTGGTATGCCTTGTGACATATAGGTGTGAAGCTCACATGGAAGTGCATGTGGGATCAATTGATGAGGACGATGATGAGCAAGGAATAGCCCATATGATTGAACATGTAGCATTCCTTGGGAGTAAGAAACGTGAGAAACTTCTTGGAACTGGTGCACGATCAAATGCTTATACAGATTTCCATCATACTGTGTTTCATATTCATTCACCAACCAGTACAAAGGTTTATTGCACTTATTTTCTTCTGCTCCCATTTCATTAGTTTTTTCCCCTTTTCAATTCTGGTTTTATATATATATATTTTAATTTTTTTTTCTAAATTTTAGCCTCCTGAGATAATAGAAGTTAGAACGGAATCACAATTTTAGATGAAGTGATAAGCAACTAAGGTGCATAAAAATTAGGACAGTCGAAGTGAAGGAAAACATTTCTTCCTTATCCCCAAGATGTAAATAGCATGAATATGATTCATCTCATGCATGAAGTATTTCTGTATATTTGTATAGTAGAAACGTTTGAAACTCAAAACAAACCCGCCACCGTTTGTCATTTTTTTTTTTTTTTTAATTTTTGTTTCTTTTTTTAGTGTTTGTTACTTTTTCTAGTCACATTCATAATTTCTTTCATTTTTTTAACGATAAACATCAAACACCACTTTAAATAAAAGTGACATTGTATGTCATTTTTTAATAAAAAAGTGATACTTAACATTTGATTTCTATGCCGCCTCACTGTTTTGAATCTATGTACTTTTTTTATAAATTTATGTCACTTTTTAAAATGTACCACTTTTTATGTTTCTGTCACTTTTTTGAATTTTTTTATCACTTTTTTTTAGTGTTTGTCACTTTTTTCAATTGTCTTCTTGAAATTTCTATCACTTTTTTTAGTGACAAACATCACTCATCACTTTTTAATAAAAGTGACATTGCTTCACTTTTTTATAAAAAAAAAATTGATGCTATTTTTATAAAAAATTGACATTGTGTCTCTTTTTAATTTTACACAGTATTTTTTATTTTCAAAAAACTTTTCTATGATTTTTCAAAACACCCCTAATTTTAAGGATATTTTTGTAAGTTGCCATTTTTTAAACATTGTGCCAAGCCTAAATTAATAATAGCATGTATATAGTGGAAATTACGTAAAATTAGGTATTTAAACTTTCAAATTCAAAGTTCATGAATGAAGTATATTTATGCAAAAATCAGGTATTAATAATTCCCCCAATTCAATTAAAAACCCTATTCATTTCACCCGATTTTGAAACCCGATTCCCGTATATTTCTTCTCTCTTCTCGGCGACGCATTCAACCACTACAAAGACGATGAAGGAAATGCGTCGGTGCCGACATCGGCTTAGAGTGGTGAAGCTGCTGGTTTGGGCCGTGTTTGATTCCCAATCTGACTTCCGAACATATTACCAAGCTTGAGATCTTTTGACATAGAAATCAACTCAAATTCATTCATGGCTGCTGCTCCTTTTCTCTATCACGAGATATTCCTGTAGTAAGCATTAGATGTGCAGTCCATTGAGTATTTTTCAACAAATTTCGTTGTTAATCTCAGATAGTTGATAATTAATAGTTCTATTTTCTCCACAAATTCACCTCAGAATCCTTAAATACAACTTCTACATCGTCCAAATTTGTATTTTCTTTCTCTTCAAATACTAGTCGTTTATAGTCTTTCTTAAACCAATCCTTCAAAATTTCTGGGATTGTAATGTGCTGGACAAACGTATCAATTATGAAATGGGGGGAAAAAAAGCACAAGTTGAAACACAAAGAACATGATGCCAAGCTTCTCTTTTCTTCTTCCTATTGATTTTTTTTTAAATGGAAAAAGTTTTTGTTCAAGATAACTTGCATCGGCCTGAAAAAAACTCAGTGTGCTCACAGTCATAGGATTTGGATTCAGGTCACATTTTCTCTGTTATTTCATTGGTAGGCATCTGTGACCATTTATTTAGGGGTATGTGAACCTTTGGCTGATTTGTGACCAAAAAACTGTGTCCATGTGACCCATAGATAAAATGTAACCTGTAATTTGAATTTTTGTGGTCTCGAAATAATTTTTGAAATAATCTGTAACCAATAATGAATCTGTGACATATAATTATGAATTCGTGACCACTAATTGTGTAACTGTGACTTTATTATATTTATTTAATAACTATTTTATTTAATTAAACATATACCTGAATTTTAAATTTCAAACTTTATACCTGATTTTTGAAATGGTGTAAAGAATACACCTGAAATATGATTTTTTCCCCTTTATATATTAGCCTATGCCTAATACAAGAAAAGCTAAAACTCGTTCAATTCTCCCAAACCCAATCGAGACATCTCATCACCTCCCCTCTCTCTCTCCCCCATGTCGACTGTCACCATCTCTACACTCTCTACTATCTCTTGTACGCTTATACAAGTATAAAGTATACCAACCCTCAATTGTGTATAAGACCAGCTCAATTTTTTGGGATTGAGCACCTACCTCCTACCGTGACTTGACTCCCTTGGCCACTGCAGCAACCTCCATCTGTAGCAGCCAATCGCCCTCTGGTCCCTTCGCTTCAATTCTACCGGCAAGACTGTAGGTGAGTCAGTGACTATTATTATTTTTTGTTGGTTTTTGTTGTTTTAAATATTTTTTGCTTTAATAATTTATGAAATATGATTTATGAGTATTGAGTTTTGATTTATGTGTTATTTGAGAATTTGAGAATATGTCAACTATGAATTGTGATATTAAAAATTAATTTGAGTATTATGAAATGTGAATAAATGATTTATGAAAATTGAAAATGAGAAATTGGGGAATTTATAATTTGTGGTGAATTGGAAATTAAAATCTTAGTTATATTTTAAAATTAATTTTAGTTACATTTAATCATTGATCAACATTCAATTCTAATACTGATTATGGAATGATTTTTTCAACCGAAATGAAAGTCCCAATCTAGTTCTTGTAGTAGTGCATCTATTCCCTCAACTTCATTTAGTTGAGCAAACGATTTGTTAAGCATTGATAACATAAAGAAATTTCATGTATCATGTAATTTATATTGTTTCGAATTGTATTGAACTATAATTTCATATAAATATACGATTTTTATGTTTATAGTGCATTTACGTATAGATCAAAGAATTTTTTAATATTATTTAATTTAATATTCATAAACGACGTTGCTATACGGCCATTGATTGTCAACGGCCACCCTAAGTCGAAGTCCTAGATCCACCTCCTTGTTTACTTTGTCTCCAACCTCGCTTCAATTCATTTTTTCTCACGTAAGTTTTCGTCTCTCTACTAGGTAACTTCTATTTCTCATTTTCTTTTCCATTTCTTTACTTGATTTGGATTTTTCCTTTTCTGTAATGAATTTGGTGTTATTTTTAGTTTTCGATAGTGTTTTGGATTTAGGGATTTAGTTGTTGATTTTCTACCCCCTTTTTGAATTTTTCTTATTTGTTTAAAGTTACATGGATGGTAGTTTAATTGAAGATAAAAATGTTAATATTGTCTGCTCAGGGATGTACAGCAAAAGAGCAACACTTGTCGCCTTGAACTCTCTCAGAAATTTGTTGAAGATATTTAATGCAAGATCCTGTTGTTGCGTGGAATCCATGAAGCCCCTTCCTTTTGGTAGGAACCTCAGCACTACTACTGATGCCAATTACGCGAATGGAGATGATTTTAATGAAGTTATTGTTGGGAATCTACTTATACATGTACAACGAAAAATTAAAATTATTTCGATTCCCATTGAGAATCCCTTTGTGTTTAGATAGAAATCGTGATAAGGATTGTACCTTTGAAAAATTCTGCAATCCTTTTGCTTTTCTTTTCGTTCCATCAACCTTGATTCACCACCCACAGTTGTCCAATTGTCCAACCTCCAACGGTGATCCACACAGAGAATAAGATTGTAGTTACCATGATTTTCTCCTCGTGTGCTAGCAAGAATGATTATGAGAAAAAAAACATATGAATTGAAAACTCTAGCCATATATTCATATAAGCCGGACCAGGCAAAATGGGACTGGCCCGGTCCGATTCAATATTTAATTAATCCATTTAATTAATTTGGGCCTATAAATAACCAACACAATTAATTAATTCATCCATCGATTGTTAAATTAATTAATTGACAAACTGCAATCTTCCAATTCTCTTTTGTGTGCGACCCATCGGGTTTCCGATCACGATGCCTAACGACATGAAATATTATTTTGATCTGATCAAAATTGATAAATTAAAACACCCTTTTAATTTATCGTCAATTCACACTCGCTGTCCCAGATTGACATCTAGCAATGTGTTAGGGTAATACATGTGACGGGAAATGTCATGTGGTATGACAAAACCAAACTCGTTCGTTTACCGTGAAACTATAATCCCTTCGTCAATATGATCCGATCAATGACGAGATATGAAAGTGTGTCAATCTCGATTATCGATCATATCTTTCACTCCACTATTAAGTCAATATAAGTCGAAAACTCATTTTCGACTTATAAGTACACCTTGGCCAAGGATTTCATCATCGACTTAATTGAATGAAACGCAGATCATAATTTCTTACTATCTAAGAGTAAGGAATCCTTTATTGATCAATCACAACCTTCATACGATTCTTGTCGTACCCGAACGATGTCGTATTAGCGGCCCTCTGCAGAACAACATCCAACACCGCCAAAGTATGACTGTCCTCATATAAGGTACCATGACGACCTCAAGTCAAATGACCAATTCCACTACCGAACGTTTAGAGATTAACCATTGACACTCAGATAGTTATCCATGTGGAATTTCTCTTTGTCAGTGGATCTGCAATATTGTTAAATGTAGAAATTTGTTCTTCTCTTTACGTCATTTCTACACATTGTCTCTCTGATGAGATTATACCATCTTAATATATGTTTGGATCATTGATGAGACCTTAGTTCCTTTGTTTTTGCAATGAATCTATTGTTATCACAATATAATGGCATGTGATCAACAATAACAGGAACTACTCCAAGTTCATTTATGAACATCATGATCTAGATTTCAACTCTTTGCTACTTCTGAAATAATCATGTATTAGATTTCTACTATTGAATCAACAGTTGCTTCACGTTCGGAACCTTTCCGACATACCGTTTAAGAGTAAACCAATTTCTCCATATAAAATCTTCTCAATAATTTATATAGATTGGGACGAGTTAAGCAACCTTCTAGACCTATTTCTATAGATCAAGTTGCTTCTCTAATATCGTTTGAGAATAAATCATTTAACAACCATTATTTCAATGATTAAAACATAGGGATGTTGTTTTCTATAATGTTAGCAATACGACAATGCTCCCACTATCTTCTTGTAAACACACAATTCATCTTCAAATTTGATAAAATCAAACACTTTGACTTTTTCATCAAATTTAAGACTTCAGCTCCAAGAGACTTCTCTTAACATATAGTCACAGTATGTAACTGTTGCAAGTAAAACCCGAATGGACTTAAGCAAGGCTACAGGAGAAAGGTTTCACCAAGGTCAACACTTAACCTTTGCTTCTAGCCTTGCTTTGTATCTATGGATATTCCCATCCATATCGACCTTTTCTTTGTAAACTATTTACAAAAACTTATGGATTTTATTCCATCAGGAGGCTTGACCAAGGTCCAAACCTTGTTCACTTACATCGAGTTCGTCTCGAGTTTTATGGCCTCTTGCTGTCTCTTTTAAGTCAATACTTGACTTTATTTTGGTGTAACTAGCATGTTCATTATCCTCAATCAGTAATACCTGATTAGTAATCATGAATTCGCACCTTCTTGAAAGTCGAATGATCCTACTAGATTCACATAGAGCTGACATGTCCTCGGGAGTCTTTACTTCCTGATCATGAGTATGTCCCATATCTGATATGGGATCAAACCCAGATTTATCTACTTGGTTAACTATATCTGTGGACTCTTGAACTCTTTCAAGTTCTATTTTACTCCCACTGTCCTCCCCTAGGGTAAACATTTTCTCTACGAAGACGATATGTCGTGAGACGAAGACTTTCTTCATGATAATAGAATTTATATTCAAATGTCTCCTTTGAATATCCTCACAAATACGTATTTATCAGATTTAGTGTCAAACTTATCTGATTCAAGGCGTTTCAAATAAGCGTCATGGCCCCAAACTTTCATATAAGATAAATTGGGACTTTTGCCTTTCCATAACTCGTATGGAGTTCTGTTAACCAATTTAGATGGGACATGATTTATTGTGTTGCACACTGCAATCAATACATGACCCCAAAACAATTTTGGAAAATTTTTATGGCTTGTTATTAATCGCATTATATCTAATAGTTAACGATTCTTAATTTAAAAAGGGGAGAATTAAAAAAAAAAAAAAAAAGAAAAAAAAAAGAGGAAAAAGTCAAAAAACAGAACATGCATGTTTGGCCATGATTTGGAAAATTTCCTATATGTTAGTTAAGATTAAAATAAATATTTCTTTTGAATTGTTAAGGTTGGAAAAAAATTACTCTTTAACATAAGTAATCATTTAGAAAGAAAAAATTAACATACTCTTCACACCTTGTGTGATTGCTTCATTTTAAAATAGCCAAACACGCCCTAAAGCAAGACAAATTTTTTGTTCCTTAAAAATAATTAGCGTATCAGGTTACAAGGACCAAAAAAATCTGTGCCGTGCCGAGTTGGCTAAACTGCCACCACTAACGCCGGCCACTCCGCCCACACCACAACCTTCTCATTTCAACTTACTGATATAACACAAGCCCCAATTTTACATTCCTTTAGCCTCCTTCCTTCTTTCCAAATTATTCGTCCCCTTATCATAAACCCTAATCAATTTGGGAAGATTAGTTTACCTATATTACGAATTATGCAAACCACGTCAGTTATATTCAACACAAAGCTCCTTTTGTCTCCGATTCATGCCAGTAATTACTATTATAATGACAAAAATTCTCGTTATTCTCCAGTGATTGCTCATCAATGTAAGAAATCTAGTGTAACTCTGCGTCCTCATAGACGCCGCTGCAGCCGTCCTTATCTTATCAATCCCCAGGTATGTATTACTATTACCACGGTTTGGCCTCTTTTTAGTGGATTTTAAATTACATACAACGTGGGATTGAGGGCTGTAAATTGTTTTGGTATTTGGATATAGACTGAACTCTTGCATTTTTGCATACTAGAATAATGAGGCTTTAGCTGTCTGGATAATGGATTATTTTGTTCAATAATTTGATTAATTGTTAGCTGTATAAAGGAAAAAAAATTGATTTTTGTTTTTTTGCGGTGCTGTGAAAATATAGTATTGATAGAATTTCCATTTCAATTATTGCCTTCTAGATGAAACAAATACAATATTTTGATAAGTACGTTTATCCATGTTTAGTTCCATGGAAATGGAACTCTGAAGTAAAATCAGTTCCAACCTAAAATCTTTTTGGACTGCTTTTCCAAGCTTTGCATTCCATATAAGCAAAAATAGCTTCCAGGCTTTTCAATATGTATGGTAAGGCTCCTAAATGGTTGCAAATTATTGCATGAGTAAACTTGAAAATAGACTGCACAACAATACTACTTGAAGCTTGAACTGCTCATATCCCCTCGCTCATAGTCTTAACCTGTTAATATCATGTTATTGTTAAAACTGGAATAAAGGCCAGTAGTTTCTTTGATAGGGAACTTTAGCGGAAGAACATTTCACAGTTGTACTCCATCTGTCCATATTGAATAGCGGTGATTTGAATTGGTCCAAAGTATTTATGTTGACTGATGAAAGTAGATATTTCATATAATTTTTAATTCATACCCTTGACACTAACGACCAAAATCCATATCAATTACACCGGATCGCTTAATCGGGAAAGTAAAAACAATCCATTGTTTAGTAGAGGTTAACACTTTGTTCTATTTATACAAGGAAATGGCATGTTTCAAAATTTTGCGGCTCAGAAAATAAATTGCTTGCGTATTTACATGAATCTATATGTAAAGGAAGAAAAAAAATAAGTTCCTCATAAAAACAAAAAGATCCCTTTCGTCTAGTCTTTGTCGAATACAGCCCTTTTCTTTTTCCACATAAAACTTTGTTTTTCTGATTTGCATGACATCCTTTTCACATCACCATGTTTACATATTACTCACTTCCATCCTTTATTGCAGAATACATGGAGAAGATCTTCGGAACTTAACGAATTCTTACCTCAAGCGCGTTCGTTGGATAGCTGTAGGCATGTCTCTTGCTTCAGCTCTCATAAAAGAAAGCAGGCCTGTTTTAGCAGATTGAACACTGGGGTCTTCCTTGAAAAGTCGACTTTCCATCTATCAAGAAAAAAACTTGACAATGCTAAAGTAAGCCATAACTAGTGTTGCTGGACCCTCTGTGATTACTTACATGTTCGTAAATGTATGATAAAAAGCTTTTCACTATTTGCATCACAACTTGGTTTTCTTATTTGTTAGATTGATAAGGAGGAGGATGGATGGTAATTTTTTACTGCTTGATTTTGTATTATAATCGATCTTATTTCTGTCACTAGAGTTGTTTTCTCCCGGCCTTTTCCTGCTAGTTTCTTTTTTTTTTCCTGAGTATTTCTTCATATGTTTCTACACTAAAATACATATCAAATGATTTACATTCTCCCCAGCTCACTAGCATTTGTTTACCCTTTCGAAGCTGTCTTATTACGACTTTTATAATTTGACACATTTACAACTCTTTTTGTATCTTGTAAGTTGCAATTGTACTACTTGTTACAAAACTATTTGTCAAATGAGATATTTGGGTATTTGTTTTTTAGTTACTTTCATTCTTTTAGCGGACATCAAAATAGCAAGTATTTGGCAATTTTGTCTGTTTAGTGACTTCAACAAGTCCAGTTTTTTTCTTAACAAATACTTCCACGTTGACACCCACTCTTTTCATTATATCATGTTGATTTACAGGTCCAACAAGTTCACGTTCCAATGGCTACTGTGGGCCCTGAAGAGCCACATGCAGCAAGTACAACCTGGCCTGATGGTGTTGTGGAAAAACAGGGTTTGGATTTTTTAGATCCAGAAGTAGAAAGAACAGAATTTAAGCAGTTTTTGAGCTACGAGCTTCCATCTCACCCAAAACTTCACAAAGGGCAATTAAAAAATGGTCTTCGCTACATCATTTTGCCTAACAAAGTCCCTCCAAATAGGTAGTATTGTTTCGCAGTAATTAAAAGTCACATGATGCTCTGTCGATTACTATCAATGCAACTGTTAGATTATAATGATACGTGAAAGACATGGTTTATTGAAATTGAAAAATAGATCGATAACTTACAACTATGCAAATCCTTATATCTATTTTTAATTTTCTAATAATCTCTTTCATTCTTCCCTACCTTGTGGTAGGAAAATAAAATCTAGTTCTTTATGTGTATCATCCTTTTATCAAAACAAGGTGCACGAGGGTTGAAATTTGATTTGCTGTGCCACGTAGAAAAGATATACAGCATTTTTCATTTCTTGCTTTCTATTGTTCCTCTCTTATCCTTGCCGGGAAGAACAACATAAATTTGTTAGTGTATCTCATCTTTCCCAGTTTTGTCGCTTTAGCGAGACATTCTTTTATAGTACAATCAAAAGAAATTTGATGGCTCCGACTTCTCTCATTGTCTTACTCTTGCGCATATTGGTATGCCTTGTGACATATAGGTGTGAAGCTCACATGGAAGTGCATGTGGGATCAATTGATGAGGACGATGATGAGCAAGGAATAGCCCATATGATTGAACATGTAGCATTCCTTGGGAGTAAGAAACGTGAGAAACTTCTTGGAACTGGTGCACGATCAAATGCTTATACAGATTTCCATCATACTGTGTTTCATATTCATTCACCAACCAGTACAAAGGTTTATTGCACTTATTTTCTTCTGCTCCCATTTCATTAGTTTTTTCCCCTTTTCAATTCTGGTTATATATATATATATATATTTTAATTTTTTTTTCTAAATTTTAGCCTCCTGAGATAATAGAAGTTAGAACGGAATCACAATTTTAGATGAAGTGATAAGCAACTAAGGTGCATAAAAATTAGGACAGTCGAAGTGAAGGAAAACATTTCTTCCTTATCCCCAAGATGTAAATAGCATGAATATGATTCATCTCATGCATGAAGTATTTCTGTATATTTGTATAGTAGAAACGTTTGAAACTCAAAACAAACCCGCCACCGTTTGTCATTTTTTTTTTTTTTTTTTTTTTTTTTTTTTTTTTTTAAACAAAACCCGCTAATGAGCCACGACAATATCAGTTTCTTTACCATTAGTTTTCTGTCTCTACTTTATGATTATTTTGCCGTATTTGCCCATCAATATATTTTCAATGGTCTTACTCTATAGTCTTTGATCTCCAGGACTCTGATGGTGATTTACTGCCAGTTGTTCTGGATGCTTTGAATGAGGTATAATAAGTCCTTTCCTTTTTCTATTGATTTGTATCTTTTGTTTATATTGTTAGAGCTATAAACATCTTTATACTTTTTTAGCTATACACTGTTTACTCTTCTTGCCATATGAATTTTATTGACTGATAAATTGTAATTTTTATCGCACATAGATTGCTTTCCACCCGAAATTTCTAGCTTCTCGAGTTGAAAAAGAAAGACGTGCAATTTTGTCAGAACTACAGATGATGAATACCATAGAGTATCGTGTTGATTGCCAGGTAACACAACAATTGGTGGTCATAGGGTGGTCCTAGTTTGTTACTCCCTCCTTTCCATAAATATAGGTTTGCTTCCATTTTCATGCAGATTAAGAAAATGTATTGATATAGTTGGAAATATAAATTTTCATTTACATTTTTCCTAATACGCCTTGTTGATAACAAGGCACATTAAATAGGGCCATATTCGAAAAATTGAGAAATTAATTGTACTCTCAACAAGGAAAGTGACCTATAATTTGAGACAGACGAAAAAGAAATGCAAGCCTATCTTTATGAATGGTGGGACTACTATTTTTGTTTTTCATTATTTACCAATTTCTTCTTTTCCTTTGTTGATCATAGTTGTTACAACACTTGCATTCTGAAAACAAGTTGAGCAAAAGATTCCCTATTGGATTGGAAGAGCAGATTAAAAAATGGGATGCAGATAAAATCCGAAGATTCCACGAGCGTTGGTACTTTCCAGCAAATGCCACCTTGTACATTGTGGGGGACATTGACAACATTTCAAAGACGGTTAACCAAATTGAAGTATGTGATTTGTGGTTTGTAATTGATCTTTAGAAGATTATGTTAGTTAGAATCATCAGTTCAAGCTTTGTACCCTAATCAACATGAATATTCAGCCATTTGAAATGGTAGTTACGTGCAAGTCTTTTGCAGGCTGTTTTTGGACAGACTGTTGCCGAAAGTGATATGGCTGCAGCTTCTACTTCAAGTGCTTTTGGTGCAATGGCTAATTTTCTTGCTCCTAAGCTGGGAGTTGGGTTGACTGGTGGTTTACCTCATGAAAGGTCATCTGTTCCCGCGGAGCAATTGAAAAACTTTAGGAAGGAAAGACATGCCATTCGTCCTCCTGTTGAGCATAATTGGTCTCTTCCTGGAAGCAATATCAATGCAAAGCCTCCTCAAATATTTCAGCATGAATTGCTCCAGAATTTCTCTATTAATATGTTTTGCAAGGTGAAGAAATTTGCTAACTATTATTGGCTCAGTTATCATGCGGTGCCTATGCAAGTAATTTCTGCCTTTTTGTGTCCTCTGTAGGACTTCTTTTATTTGTTGAATTTACATATTTTATTTATCTTCAGAAAAAATTCTTTCTTTTTGAGTCGGAAGAGGGGTTGCGCTGGGTAATTTCCTATTTGGGCCCCATTTGTTTCCCATTCTTTGGCCACAAAAATAAAAAATATGATCGTTATCCATCACATCAAGCCACCATATTTGACTTCTTCTCTCTTGTGTGAGTCCCGCACCAGTTATATTTTTCATTCTCATTCTTATAAGAATGGGAATCAAACGGGGGCTAGAATTCAAGGTTGGACACCAAATCTTCATATTTTTGTTTCACTCATGGATAAGCTTATCAAACATATTCAAGATGAGGTCATTTGATATATTTATTTGATTTAACAGCTTTAGGTCATCGCTTGCCTACCAAAACTACAACATCCCCTGATACACTTAAGGCTCTATGATTTCTCACTCTGTTTGATTGAACTTGTGTTTATGATAAAATATTTTGCTGTTGTAGTAGTAATAGCTAGAGATGATATTATTTTGTTTGTTGATAGTGGGGCTATATTCCACAGGATGTTGTACCTATTCTTTTTTCTATGTTCTTGTATTCTGGACTTTTATCATTATTATTTTTTACAAGTTCTATGCTATTTTGTATCAGATCCCTGTCAACAAGGTCCGCACATATGGTGATTTGCGAAATGTGCTGATGAAGAGGATATTTCTTTCTGCTTTGCATTTTCGTATTAACACAAGATACAAGGTGCATTGATTTCCTTTTCCTTTTAATTCCGGTGTTATACAGCTCCAGAAAATCTATCATAAAAAGCCTTCTCTAGTTACGTGGAGGTGTTTTTGATGTATCCGTGGAAATGAGTTACATAAGTGGGCTATATTTTTCAATAGTTAGTGTGATGAATAATGACATTTCATGGGTTTGAAATTCGCTTGACTTCTTGCAATTCGTTAGAGAAAGTGAGTAAATTAGTAAAGAAATTCTCTCCCCAACTTTAAATTTGTGCTGAATATTGCAATTTCCATTGTCTTCCAATATGCATGTAGGAACAACGGGTAGGATCTTTAAGCTCTGATAGATTGATTGAGGACAGCTTTAGAATTTCTTTCATGAAGCCTTCCGTGATGAATTATAATGGTGGGTTTTGATGTGGAGTATGTAGCCAATGAATTATATGATGAGTCAGGGATGAGTTGTTGAGGAAAGGATGTTTAGTTATTTTTTGGGAGACAGTTTGGGTTTTGGAAAACAGTACCCAGGGATAGTGTTTAGAAGGGGGGCAAGTAGAGGACAGAGCTTTACCTGCGCAATGGTTAGACAAGTACACAAAGCATGCTCATAAAGATCACTTGTACTTTTGATTTCAAAGAATACTTGTAGTTAGTTGTAGGCACTTTTATGAATTATTTGGGTCTTAATATTTAAAATTGTGGATAAATAACATGTAATTAACATCACTTATTTATTTTATCTCCTAATATTTTTTGTTATTTGTTGATAGGGAAGAAGCTCTACCCGCTAAATAATGAAAGGGATTGAAAGAAAATAGGATTATTTGCTGTGATCGAAGTAATCACTAGAGATTTAGTGCTTAAGGCTTAAAACTCAACGAAAACAGAATTTTTTGAGAAACTGAACTGTTTAGTTGTTATGTTTGTTGTAATAATCAGGCCTTTTAAGGACTCCAAAGCCTACTTTAACTAGGAAAACTTAAATCACTAGGAAAAAGTGAATCTATTTCTAGCAGGAAACCCACCAGGGGACTAAATCAAGACTAATGAAAAACTTTTTTTTAATAACTAATCGAATTTCAAGTTAATAATAAGAATACTTGAGGAGAAGGATTCGAAAATTTTAACTTTTGCTCCTGCATTGTTTGCCCGATAAATAGGTGCTTTTAATATGTAACATTAGTTTTGCATTAGAGCTACCTTCTTCCTTTTCTAATTTGAAGGGTTTTACAGAGTTCAAATCCACCATTTACTTCAGTTGAATTGGACCATAGTGACTCTGGAAGAGAAGGTTGCACAGTTACCACTCTCACAGTGACTGCTGAACCTCAAAATTGGCGAAATGCAATTAAAGTTTCCGTGCAGGAGGTTTGTCATTTCATATCTTAATTTCATTCATTATCTACATGCACAGACGTCTACCCTCCTTCACCCTCTTACTCAGTAGAATCTAATGTTCGGGAAATCATAGCATTAATGTGATTGGTGATGGTAAATATTAGTATTTTATAATGCTTTTCTTGTCTAGAAATTTCTAATGACACAGTTAAGGTTGTTCCCATGTGTTATGCCGTTAAAATATGTGAATTTTGTGCCTTCCAGGTTAGAAGGCTTAAAGAATTTGGTGTTACAAAAGGCGAATTGGCCCGTTATTTGGATGCACTACTAAAAGATAGTGAACAGCTGGCTGCTATGATTGATAACGTATCATCAGTGGATAATTTAGATTTCATTATGGAGAGCGAAGCACTTGGTCACACTGTGATGGATCAAAGACAAGGACATGAGAGTTTGGTTGCTGTTGCTGGCACGGTTACCCTCGAGGAGGTAATACTTAATTCTTTCCTCTCTGAATGGTGGCTCTTTACTATTTTTTCCTTTATTGTGTTGGACCAACAAAGATGCATCTTATTGACTTTTTACTCACAAAGGATTTGTCAGATATGCATGAACTAGATGCACTTTGAGACTTATTGGAAATTTGGAAGTGTGTTAAACCATTTCTGCCAAGATCATGAAAACGTGTTGGTTAATTTTGAGAGACTCAGTTGATCATTTTTTATATGTACATGTCAGGTCAATTCTATTGGTGCGAAGGTGTTGGAGTTCGTCTCTGATTATGGAAAATCATATGCACCGCTCCCAGCAGCAATTGTTGCTTGTGTTCCAAAGAAAGTGCATGTTGATGGAATTGGTGAAACCGAATTCAAGATAACACCGGAAGAGATATTAGCTGCAATTGAAACTGGTTTGAATGAAACCATAGAGGCAGAGCCTGAGGTTTTTATCTTTTACGAACCTTTATATTTACAGATCCTCTGTTATGGTGTGGGTTGTATTTAGGCCTGGGGCTCATCCTCCAGGTTTTAGAAAGATTTATGGATGAAAATTAAAAAGACTCCATTTGACTAGAAACATATATTGATAAATATTAAAATTTGTTACGAGATTTGTTTGTGCCATTGTCCTCTTCCCATCTGTTCTCTTTTACAAAAAGCATAAAATATAAAGAAATGGACAAGGTTTTTTATCCACCTTGCTTCATTATCAAGATGATATTATTGACTAGTATTTGTTTTTCAATTCTACAGCTTGAGGTGCCTAAAGAATTAATTTCCTCAGAGCAGCTTCAGGAATTAAAATTGCAGCGAAGCCCATCCTTTGTTCCCGTAGACCAAGAAACAAACGCGACAAAAATATATGAGGAGGATACAGGAATCACTCAACGACGCCTTTCTAATGGAATTCCTGTAAATTACAGGGTTAGTCATTTTTATATTTGTACTTACTCAAATATTTGACATACAAATAAATTTCTTTTCTAATTTTTGTGCCTTCGGTCGAAAACTGAATATCATTTTTCTTTTTGGTGATATTTTAGATTAAATGTTCCCTTTTCAGCTCTTGTTTCTAAAGTATCCTATTTGACTTTTGTACTTCCTACATATTGAATGCTTGAAGCTGAGTCCTACCTATGATTGGCAATTTGGCATCATATGCAGGCTCAGAGTTAAACGGCACACATATTATTCAGCTTTTCAACTCCTGCTGTTTATGTCAATCCAAATCATGAAATTTACTTTTGGAGATTACAAGTAGTACACAATTAATTGAATTTTGGTAAAAAAAAAGGGATTGTATTTGCAGAAACTTTTATAACTACACCAAAAGCATGGTGAAGTACTCCATTTTACGCCAATCAAGTACAAAAATCAAGATGTATTGTGATGCTACAACTAAGTACCTTACAAATCTTATGGTAATTTTGAAATGAGAGTTAAATGTGTGTAGTCAGTCTTTATTTCTTACCTCATATGTATATCTTGATTTCTCCATTAGTCTTGCTATATTCACAAGTTAAAAATAGTATCATCTATGGTATTGCTATGCTCTTTGTGCTGCTTTCATACTCCTTTGCTTGATTGTTGAATAAACATATGGATTCTGTTTATTTCTTTTGATGTTTGATGATATTTTCATAATTTTCTTGGTACATATTTGCATGTTGATACATAGTGTTATTGTATCAATAGATATCCAAGAGTGAAGCCAATAGCGGTGTCATGCGCCTCATAGTTGGTGGTGGACGAGCAGCTGAAAGTTCAGAGACTAAGGGAGCTGTTATTGTGGGTGTTCGAACTCTTAGTGAGGGAGGTCGAGTTGGCAATTTCACGCGTGAACAGGTGATAATTGACAAAATCATTTTTCTAGATTTTTCTGTTTGATGATTTTGAATAATTTGCTTCTGTAGCTATTTGATGTTTTCTTACCTTGCTAGATGTTTATATATGTTGCAGAAGAATAGGGTTGAGAAGGGATGCATTTTAAATTCTATTATGTTGTAATTTTTCAAGCATGTAGAGCTTTTGCATCACCTCTCTTAAGATTCCATTGTATCTGAAATTAAGCGTTTGATCCAAAAAAAAAAAAAAAAAAAAAAAAATTGCTTTGATACAGCATAATAATCCAGATCTACATAATATGGTTTTATTGCTTAATCTGCATTTTTATTCGTAACTGTTCTGTTTGGATTGAAAGTAAGAAAAAATGCTCATAACATTATCTTCAAGTTTGTGCAGTTTGATTCTTTTCTAGTATAATGTTTATTTTCTTTTATTGCTGGTTAACATCTTTGCCATACAACAAGAGCTTTAACTGTTTAAGAGGAGATATTCCTTAATTGATGTTTAGAGTAGATTGTGTGTGTGAATATTTAAAGCCTGCATAATACCCAATATCTTGGTGCCATTCTACCTCTATTCAATTGTTTAATGCTATTGTGTATTTCCATTTTGTCCAACGTGGATAGAAGTCAAAGATCTGTTAATACTACTACAAATCTATTTCTATACCACATTGCACAATATATTATCTCCTTGTGTCCACGGTGCTAGGAAGTGTTTTAATTCTTAATGTATGGCTCCAGGTAGAACTCTTCTGTGTGAATCACTTGATAAATTGCTCCCTGGAGTCAACTGAGGAGTTTATATGTATGGAGTTTCGTTTTACTTTGAGAGATAATGGGATGTGTGCAGCTTTCCAGTTACTTCATATGGTACTTGAGGTAATTCCACTGTCATTTCTCTCGTGTAAATGCTTACGTGTTACTCTATAACTAGGAATGGCAATTGGGTTCGCTGGCTCGGGCCACCCGTGGTTCTGCTTGAAAAAAGCTCGAGCCCGCTCGGCTCGAGGCTCGGAAGAACGGAACCGAGCCCCATTTTTAGGTATCGGGGAAAGCTCGAGCCGGCCTGCGTGGCTCGCCGGCTCGGAGCATATATTTAAAAAAAAAAAAATTAAAAAAAATAAATAATAAAAGGCAACGTGTTGCTGCCAGAAATAGGGCAGCAGGTTGCTGCCATGTAATTAAAAAAAAAAAATCCAAAACCAAACAAAACCTGAGCGAGCCCAGCTCAGCTCGGAAAGGTCCTAATTTTTTTTCTCGGGCCCGGAAAAAAGCTCGGATATTTTACCCGAGCCGAGCCCGAGCCTAGAATTTCGGCTCGGGAGCCGGCTTGGCTCGGTTCGTTGACATCCCTATCTATAACTAATGACCTGGTTAGTCCCTTGTGTCAATTGACAAGTTATGCATCTGTTTTGCCTATCTGCCTGCCTTCCTCCTCCACCATCCTCCTTTTTTCTTGGTATAGTTTGAGTTATGGAATCAGTTGAGTTGGTGTCTGTTGAGGTAATAGTTGGTTAACTGGACTGAGAGTGGTTGGTTACATTTATAAGGACATGAATATAGCCTGTAATACTTCACATAGAAACATGTTATGTTTGTTTCTCTGGATCAATAACTAGGGAGGATGGGGACCTAACTTTTTGAACTTTATAAATGTGGATGAGATAGGGCACTTTGCTGTCTTCCTTCTGGGATAATGATACCATTTTTACTGCTGGTGCATGTGGTTGTAGACAGTTCTGTAACCTATGCAACTGAGGACACCTTGTTCTCTGAAATGACACAAGAAGTTCAAAAGGCATACTTTATGACTGACAGTCTAGATTATTTTTCCTTTTAACAGTAGTAGTTATAGATGTACATCCGACATCTTTTTCTGGAAATTTTACAAATGCCACTTCTGTACAGCATAGTGTTTGGCTGGATGATGCATTCGATAGAGCTAGGCAGTTATACTTGTCGTATTACCGATCTATTCCGAAAAGCTTAGAACGCTCTACTGCCCACAAGCTCATGATGGCTATGCTAGATGGAGATGAACGTTTCGTTGAGCCCACACCGAGTTCATTACAACAATTAACACTAGAACGTGTAAAAGATGCAGTAATGAATCAGTTCATCACTGATAACATGGAGGTTTGAATCGTTGATCTTTTCCGTTACTTTTTTTTTTTTTTTTTGGAACAAAATATTGGCTTATTTGTAAATCATCAGCCTATGAGAGTGAAAATTTTTCTGGTTTAAGTATTGCCACTCTTTGTTCATTCATCAGGTGAGTATTGTAGGAGACTTCTCAGTGGAGGATATAGAGTCTTGCATAATGGAGTATTTGGGTACAGTCAGAGCAACAAGAGGTTCTGAGCAGGCACAAAAATACAGCCCAATTGTATTCCGACCATATACTACTGATATGCAGCATCAACAAGTGAGAATGTCACCTTCGAATGTTTTGAGTTTGGTTTTCTTTTGTATGAGTTGGACGTTTTGCTCTCGAGTATAGTCTGGTTACCTTATTCCTTTTGTGCCATAACTGTTTCCTAAACACCAACATTCTCTGAATTATGATATGCCGTATGGAGTTTTATTTATTAGCTGCTTGACAGGTATTCTTGAAAGATACAGATGAACGAGCCTGTGCATACATTGCAGGCCCTGCACCAAATCGTTGGGGATTTACTTTCGAGGGAAAGGACCTTCTCAAGTCATTCAGCAATATTGCTACATATGGTAACTGTAGTATAGTTTGAGACGTATCATATACCCCTTTTGTATATGTATAGCATGGAGATAACTGAAGCAAGAATATTGAGCTAAGTTGGGAGACCGTGAAAGCTTAACTTCTCTTATACCCTCACAGATTTTAGGCCCATGTTCATGTTATTAATAGACTTTGTGAGAATGAAATCAAGCAAAGGGAACCAAACTTTGTTCTGCTCACACTTTGCTTCAATCATCATGATTTTTTTTCTCTGAGAACTTGAAAGCTCAGACACCACTTGAAAGCTAATATGAGCTTCAAATTGAATCAAAGATAGTCTAAGCTTGTAGATTCTTATTAAGGCAACATCATATCAACTTTAATCAATACAAGTTCCACCTGCTAAACTAAAAAGCTATAATCTCAGTCATTATTGTTTTTAAAGTAACCCATCAATTTTTATATTGCAAGTACAGTGATTTGATCTATTATCTGAGTTCCATGGACTTTAAATTCCCTTTGACACCCTCACAGTTCGAGTTTTAGTCAGTATATAATTTTGAATTTATTAGTCAATATAACGATATAATCACATCTAATACAATTTCAAACCTAATTTAAAACCAACCCTTCTATAGCTCTAGTTTGTGCTTGGCTGAAATTAAACTCTAGCTGAACTTAGGTCTTTGAAACGGAAAAGATCCAGCCTAAACACGAGGGAGCATGTTGAATATAAAATATGAATAAATGAAGTCCTTAATAAAAGCTTAAGCTATACTTTCCGACTTGGGGTCCTCTTTTCATTGATGAAATGCATTTGGCTAAGTTATTTGGTGAAGGTTTTTAACATTCTCAAATTAGATCCTGCTTCAAACTAGTCTCTTCATGTGCAAGTCCTGGATGGACATAAACATGAATCCATTCCAATAGTTTACATCACAACTTCTCCCCGAAAAATATTCTAAAGTGTTGTACATTAGCTGAGGGGAAACCAGCTTATTAGTAATTGAACACGGTGATGTGTTATGCCCTTCTATGAATGTCGCAAATGATTACAAAAGTAAGGGGGTGTTTGATTCCCATTTTTCCTAAAATATATTTTCTCTGTTCTTTTCAACCATACATTCTTCATTAAAATAATATTATATGCAAATAAAAAAAATTTCCTTCTTTTTTAATCACACATTCTCCATTAATTTACTATTCCAAAATACATTCTTCAAAAATAATGGGGCTCAAACACCCCCTAAATGTAATCCTGTGCACTGCTTCAATCCTGTTCTGAATTGACAAAAATAACTGAGACGACTTCATGAAAATAATTTCCTAAATGTAGCTTGAGTTAAGTGATTTTTTGATGCAAATAAAAAAATTTCCTTCTTTTTTAATCACACATTCTCCATTAATTTACTATTCCAAAATACATTCTTCAAAAATAATGGGGCTCAAACACCCCCTAAATGTAATCCTGTGCACTGCTATAATCCTGTTCTGAATTGACAAAAATAACTGAGACGACTTCATGAAAATAATTTCCTAAATGTAGCTTGAGTTAAGTGATTTTTTCCTGCACTCAAATTCAGTTCCTTGATATATGCTTGCATTAATATCCACTGTATAATGACACTTAAGCCATATATTTTAAAGAAAAAATCTGTTTTCATATCTGCTGATTCATGAAAATAAAACTGAAATTCTATACTGTCATTCTGAAATAAATTTTCCTAGGGTTCAATTTATGCCAGAAAATGAGTGTTTGAATTGTTATCCAGATGAGCATCTAAAATTTGGGACGCAGCCTGAAGAGTTGGAGAATGCTGATATGAAACTTCAAGGGAAGTTATGCGCTCACCCATTGTTTTTTGCTATCACATTGGGACTGTTGGCAGAGATCATAAACTCTAGGTAATTTATATGGAGGCTGACATTAGATTGCATATTAGAGATTTATCTTATATGTCCTATCTCATGACAATGTGCATTTCGGAGTTAGTATGAATAGGATATAATAGTTATGATCTCATATCTCTGGTATCTTGTATATGAATCACTTTTATGGTGCCTTCTTTGAACAGCCTTACAGAGCATTAAAACTTCTTGACAAGTGAAGTAAACGTAACTTATATAACTTAAAAATCGCATACGTACACTCATCCAATTGAATTTTTTTGACACATGCCTTCTCTAAGTGCTTAGAGGACTTCGGTTTTGCTTATTTATTGACATTATCATACTTCTATATCAGTTTCTTGTAAAATGATTCTTAACAAATACATTTGTTTGTATTAAGAGTAGCTTATGATGAAAAAAGTGGGCTCCCTTCCTGAACTTGCTTTGTGATCTGGAAATTTAATGGAAAATAATTGATAAGGACCACTATAGTAGGGAGAAAATCATTTGATAAAACTCATGAACATATGAAGCTGAGTTTTACTGAGAATGGGGTTTCAAATTACTAATGGAAATTTCTGTTAATTTTTGCTAATTGTGTGTAGTTCCTCTTATTTTTGTTAGTTTTTCATTATCATGGGATTTTCCAAAGCTATTCCTTCTGTTTGTTTCTACTTGCAAATGAGCTCGTACCCCGAAGAGTTTGATCCATGACTTCAATAGTTGAGATTGCACACTGCTTTTGTCTGCATTGCATTCATTGGCAAAACTTGGATTAACCACATTCCATATCTTATTTACCACTCTTGTAGAGCTTCTCTTCAGGTCAGACTATGCTAAACATTTATCCACTTATTCGGAAGGAACGTATTTAATAAAGGAAACTTCTGGTGTAAAATTGGGCAATTGTCAGAATAGGAAAATATCAATCCAAAAGGTCCTTTGGCATGCTTTTCATCTAGACTATATCCTTGGATGGATAATGCATTTTTTTTTCAGTCATGGTCCAACATTGTCAATACAAAGGATTTTGTTAAATTTAAAAATATATGTTTTCTATCATTTTTTTTCCTTGGTCTTTGTATAGGCTCTTTACAACAGTCAGAGATTCACTTGGATTGACGTATGATGTATCTTTTGAATTGAACCTGTTTGATCGGTTGAAGCTTGGGTGGTATGTAATCTCAGTGACATCCACTCCTGGAAAGGTGTGTGCTTCTCCATCTATATAATTTCTTCTGATTTTATGCTCCTCATAGATGACTTTCTAGCTAATTAATTTGTATACAGGTACATAAAGCTGTTGATGCTTGCAAGAATGTCCTCCGGGGTCTGCATAGTAACAGGATTGCCCCCAGAGAGTTGGATCGGGTTAGTTGTCTTACAGAATGATTTCGTTCTTTAGTAAATTATACTTTTGGTTTCTTTCTTTTTAAGTGATTGGGTTAGAAATATGGAAGACTCCTAATATCCTTGAATAGCTTAGGTTTGTAGTAATGCTGAAATAGGATTGGAAAAACCTGCAGGATTAAGGGAATGACAATGTCATTAACGAGGGGAAAATTTTAGCTTTTGGTGGTTGCATATAAGGAACTGTTGTGGGCTGCTGTGAGCCCATGGACAAAAATCATGGTTGTTTTGGTTGGCTGACATAAAGACATTAAACGTCAGAATAGCTGATATCCTTTAAAAAGTTGTCATGAAAATCCATACTGCACTTCTATGGTTCAAAATTGTATGTGCCTCCTCTTGGCAATCAAAAGTATAACTAATGTGCCCAGCGCCTTTAAACTCTAATTTTAACAAATTTTATTGCTATTATCACCAAAAGCTACTTTACTCAAAAAAGTCTTAGCTCATACTATTCTGAGATCAGCTACATGAATTGTTTCCCCTATCTTGATCTATTAACAGCCAACTTCGAATTTAAATAGCGAATTCTGGGATCCTTTTCAATTACCTTAGTCATGTGATTTTAAGTTGACCTCTTTCTTAAGGTCTATGTTAATACTAGTTCATTACTATTCCTAATTAGTATATCCTGCAGTTTCCATTGGATATGCCTTGGAACATCTGAAACTGTTGTCTCACAAATCCATCATAACATTTTTCTGGCTTCCCTTCAACTTTTGCTACCTTTATTCTGAGAAAGAATACAAAATCCTGCTACCGAGATTGCAACATAGATTTGAAAACTTCATATTTAACAATCTTCAATGAATGGGGATTATTTTTTACATGGGAACTTTTGGGATTCTAAAAGTGCTAAAATGATAATAGCCATTACCTATGTTTAATTATATGAAGGCTGAAACTGAGCTGACTCTTTTCTAAATCAATGCTCTGAGATGAACATGATTCAGAGTTGCTCATTTTTTTTTGTTGACAGGCAAAACGAACATTGCTGATGCGACATGAAGCTGAAATCAAGTCAAATGCTTATTGGCTTGGATTGATGGCTCACTTGCAAGCGGCATCTGTCCCTAGGAAGGTAAAGTTGAAATCTTTACTTCTTATTCATCTGGGAAGGAAACAAAATAATACAAAAAAATATAAGATATGATATATCACCGGGCAGAGCCTGAAGGCCCTGAACTTTATGAGTTTGAAAGAGTATGCGGTTTCTTTGGCACTTTCACTTTGTAATTTTTCCTTGGACTCAAGTTCTGACCATCTTTCTGGTTGCCAGGATATTTCTTGCATTAAGGATCTCACTTTGCTGTATGAGTCTGCTACTGTTGAAGACATATATATTGCCTATGAACAGCTGAAGATAGATGAGAATTCCTTGTACTCGTGCATTGGAATTGCTGGGGCTCAGGCTGGAGAAGAAGTCATAGGTGAAGACATAATTCTGTAAAACAATTTTTGTGAAAAACTTAAATGGTTAGTGTTTTCTTTTACCAAGTTATGATGAACTCAATATTATGCTACAGCTACAACAGAGGAGGAAGAATTGGCAGAGGGCCTCCCCAGTGTTATTCCTATAGGGCGGGGTTCATCTACTATGACAAGACCAACAACTTGAAGTTCATGATGCAAATGCACTGCAGATATTGAGCATATGAGGTACATTTCTTGGGCACTGATGTAATAACTCTTCCATCTGCAATATGATGAAGTTAAAAGGAAAAATTAAATTTTAAACAAACCCTGATGAACTCAATATTATGCTACAGCTACAACAGAGGAGGAAGAATTGGCAGAGGGCCTCCCCAGTGTTATTCCTATAGGGCGGGGTTCATCTACTATGACAAGACCAACAACTTGAAGTTCATGATGCAAATGCACTGCAGATATTGAGCATATGAGGTACATTTCTTGGGCACTGATGTAATAACTCTTCCATCTGCAATATGATGAAGTTAAAAGGAAAAATTAAATTTTAAACAAACCCTTGGCCTGGAGAGCAACGATAAAATGTAAGGGGATAATCGTCGTTATTAAAATGATATACGACCGGTAAGTTTATCTGCATCATAGAATGTGTTATGGAAAAAATCTGGTTGATTAATAACATCAATTTTGTCTTCATTTATTAGCTTGGTTTTATTTGATCTCTAGATTTGTCCTCTATCAGTTGAAACTTTGTTTGAGCAAAGCATTCAATGTTTCCCAAAACAATCAATAGATTATTCTCTACTCGTGATTCATTTGTCAGGTTGAAGATGGTTTCACGTAAAAGGTTTGCTCCAACAGGATTTATACTCTTGTAGATTTGTGGCAAACAATAAAAGGACCAACTAGTACTCGGGTGTTTTTCTCTGAGAGTGCTAGTTATGCTCTGAAAAAAATTAAGCGATCATGGTGTGACTGGTGATATGGAACTGCCAGGGCATCTCTTCATTCATTCATGACAAAAGGATGAATTTAAGGTTGGAATTAATCACAGCATATATTATGTATTCTGTTATTCATATAGGTTTATTCATTCCGAAATTTTATGTTAGTCATCCCGGATTACATTTCCTCCCTTTCCTGACGGGTGATGGATGGTGAAATTTGTTGTCCTAGCTGATGCATCAGATACATATAATTCTTGAAAAATTTACAAGTGGCTGATGAGATTTTTCATGTTGTATCATACATTGGAAATAAAAATTCCAGTTTCACTGTTCTTACCAGTAAAGATTTTTTGGTAGTGCTGTACATTTTTCTGTCACCTCCATGGGAAGATAAAAAGTGAGCAATGCATTTGTTTCTTGATGGGTAAGGTGAAAATCTTGCTTACTATACCGTCCATTTCTAGTTTGCCTCTTTCGTCCCAGGTTGTGTGAATGAATCACACTTTGTTTCTATCTGTTAAATTCTAGTAGGAATGACTCGATAATATTATGATTAAAGACGAGATATGAGACAATCGTCAATTGTTTAGTTTAAGTTTAATGCACCAAAGATCGTCGTGATTAACCTAAGATGGGATAGTTGCTGTGCGATGAGCAAGCAGAGAGGAACCAACGTGTCCAGTAACTTGAAATTATTATTAATTTGTTAAGGTTTCAATAGCTTGAACCTTTTTGAGCATCTTCAATGCAACTGTGAATTACATAAATACTTTTGCCACAAATAGACAATGTTCAAAATATGCTCTTCACAATACAACTGTTTAAGAGCATCTTCAAGAGAAACAGGAGATGTGATTTATTTTGAAGTGCCAACTTTTAAAATCATGTTTTAAGAAATTTTTTAAATTAATACTTTTATTTAGAGAGTGAGTTTTGCTATTCAAATTTGAAGAGCGAACTCACTCTATATAATTAAATGCGTTTGAAGTGTATCAATTTTTAATGTAGGAAAATAAGAAAAACACTAAAGAAAAGCTTGTTAAGTGTTAGATATGGATAGAGAAAAGTAATAAATATTTTTTAAGAGTGATAAAATTAAGTGTTCATTGTAAAGAGTTTGTTGGAGTAATTCAAAATTTTAGTTCTCTAAATGATATAATATGCTCTTTAAAAATAGAGAGACT